ACATGCTTATTATTAGAAACTGAGAAAAAAACTATTTTGTTACAATTATATAGCACTTTTCTGGACAACTTCTTATAGTGCTTTACAGCTAATGACGACTCCCCTCCACCGCCACCAATGTGCAGCATCCACCTGGTGACCGTTGCCATAGTGCACACAGTACACTCACCACACATCAGCTGTGAGAACAGAGTGAACAGTGATGAAGCCCTTTCATAGATGGGGATTATTAGGAGGCTACGATTGGTAAAGGCCAATGGGAAATTTGTCCAGGACGCGGGGTAACAGCCCTACTCTTTTCGAGAAACACCCTGGGATTTTTAATGACCACAGAGAGGACCTCGGTTTTACATTTTATCTAAAGGATAATGCCTATTTTACAGTATAGTGTCCGCGGCTTTGAAACGATGTTTGAAACAGTGAGGCGAGACCTGGTTTGGTTGGGATGTGGGTTTGTATTTTGATTTTCCTGCGCGAACCATATTTGCTGCAATACTATAATGAGTCCTTGAGGCATATCGTTCAAATTTCGGAATGATAAAAAATAAACATTTGTTGAGTTTGCACGAGAGTTTTGAGAAGTCGTGTACTGCTTGCAAAGTAGCTAATTTTGCTTGAAGAGTTTTAAATCTGTCTGTACTGTAGCTTTATTTATTTGAGCTGAAAGTCACCTTGCTCTTACAAGCGGCTCCGTTAAGCAGAGTTTGTGTTAACACACCACACCCTTTGAATGAGTTTTAATCAACTTTGTCTGTCTATGGGGGTTGGGCAGAGTGATTGAGAGTGAAATAAATTACCACTGGCACTGTTCCTTCCCCCCGGTGCGAGGTGATAATGCAGAAAACTGGTTTTTTATTTTACTGGGCGTGTGAACATTGAGTGACCACCGGGGCGTACAATGAGATTAACACAGTGAGATTACTGAGATGGATAGTTTTAGTAAATATGTTGACAAATATCTGAATTTTTTATTTCACGAGGCAACATAAAATTGTATCCAGCTGTGAATCAGCTACGTGACCTTGCCCGCGTGAAATTTGAGGGAAAGAGGTTTAGTGGGCAGCTTTACTCACAGTGTAGTGCCCATAGAGTGTTAGTTTTAATATACAGTACGGTATAACGGTATAAAGAAAGTATTTTTTAATTGCTATTCATGCACGTACGTTTTGTGTTGAGTTTGCTTCTGTGTGTTGTTAGCTGGTGGGCAAACGTTCGAGGTGAAAATCCTTCCCCAAGGAGTGCACTTTAAAATGGAGAAGACGGCACCAAACATTTTCGGCTCTGTATGTTGCTCAAGCCATTTCTCTTTGGCATCATAGAGGTGGAAAGATGCCTCCCCCCTCCCCCTTCCCTCTGCCTGCCTGACCTGTTCCCATTTCTAACCATTCTGTGTCCGAATCGCAGTGGGTAAGAGTAGGGAGAGACAGAAAAAAAGTGAACCCTGGTTTTTTGATAGTCAGATTTTACGTGTTTGAACACAGTCTTCCAAATAAATGTTTTTACAAGATGTGGAAACAACAATTTATCACAGTGTGAATTTTAATACTAATTATTGATTACTAATAGTTTATGCACCTGACGCCTGACTTTATTTAGATGTATATAAAATATTAAACTGTGACATAAAAGTTGGAAATACAACTAGTCGAAAATAGTCTGTGATACTTGTGTAGATGTAACTTTTCTAAAATGTATTTAAAAAAAATAAAAATGATTAAAATGTATAATCTTTCCATGTGTAATGTAATAAGAAAGTACAATAAACCTCTGGTTTGTTTAACAATGGTTTCAAATATAAAACTAACTGGTGTGAAAGCTATGGTTAACAATAATTAAAAGATTTCAAGTTAAAAGAAATTATTTACATTCCATTATTAAGTTTTTAAAGCAGACACGCTCAGTGCCATAAACACTGCAAGCTGCAGAACAGTCTCCTTCTGGCGCCGCCTCTTCTCTGACTGAGCTCAGTGGGCGGTGCGCTATTTTCTGAGCCCCCTGCTTATTTGCTTCACACCACGGGAAGACAGTAGAATGTGATTGTACTGTATCTGAACGAAATGCGTATTGTGTTTGCAAATTAAACTGTTTAAAATGTTTAATTAAAATGTTAAAAAATTTACAGCTTACACAACGATTCTTGAACTTGAACTGTATTGCCATATGTAACCGGTATGTATGAGTTCGGAAAACTGTCTTTGAGAACACAGACAGAGAGATTAGAGTGGTCATGGCCGTCAGAGGTGAAATGAGAAACAATGGGCTTGGAGAGATCTTTAATCTTCACAGCCCTTACATGTTCTCTGAAGTGGTCTCCAAGTCTCCTTCATGTTTCTCCAATGTAGATGACTGGGCATTTACTGCAAGTGATACAGTAAATAAGGTTGCTGGAGATACAAGATGCCATCTGGGTGATCCAGAATTGTCCTGTGGGGCCTTGAATGAGTGTGGTGTTAGATGTATACTTGTAGGTGATACAGCGAGCTCTGTCGGAAGGGAACGTGCCTGGTGTGGATGGTTGCTGAGGGCGGTCAAGGGAGCTATGAACAAGGTTATGCAGATTAGGTGGTTGGCAGTATGAGATGATGGGGCGGTCAGAAAAGAGGGATCATCCTGTAGGATGGAAAAGTTGTCGTAAATAGTCCTGGGGATAGGAAGTGTGTTTGGGTGATATGGAAGCACCAAAGGAATGCGGTTGTTACAGGGGGAGTTCCTGATTGAGTTGATGGTCCAAGGGGTGTTTTTGATTCAGGCAAGGGCCCTGTCAATAACACTGCTAGGGTATCCTCTGTTGATGGAAAAGGAGTACATTTTGAGGGCTTGGTGTCGTTGCTGCATAATCATCGTAGCTGAAGGGACTGTGAAAAAGGGAGAGAGTTTTTAGTGTGTTTGGGGTGAAATGAGCTATACAGGAGATAGCTATGTGAATCTGTGGGTTTGTAATGGACCAAAGTAGAGAGTTGGGGGTAATTAATGGAGAAGTTGATGTCTAGAAACAGAAGAGTAGCGGAAGATATTGTATGTTAACTGTATATTTGCTGGATGGGTGGAAGTTGGTAAAATGATGCAGAAAGTGCTCAAACTGGTCGAGTATGTGGCGGCACCGACGCAGTCATCAATGTATTGCTTGTAGAGGTCAGGGACAGCCAGTGTAGGAAACGAAGAAGCATTCTTCTACCGAGCCGACAGCCTGTGCCTGCACAAAAAAGCTAAGCTTTCTACAGCTACAACCAGATGCAATCTAGATGTTGTTTAAATAAAAGTTCTGAATAATTTCACAAATTGTGATCTTGAAAATGCCTGATGTTTAAAGGTTCTGTGTATTTTGCTTGCAAAGTTATTGATATCTGAAACATTGCATCTCAAAAATGGGCACTTAAATGAGTGAAGGTTGTGAAAACAAGAAAACAGATCACCCTGAAAAAAATGCAAGCATTTTGAAATTGTTTATTAATAAATTAATATTGTTACTAAATGTTCATAGACGCTATTATAGTTCAGTTTTCAGTCTTATTAGTACCAATTTGTTATTCTAGATTGTAATGATTTAAAGTATATACAGTATATATGCAATTTAATTTGAAGTCTTACTGTAAACCAGAAGAACTGCTTTTTACTCCCGCCATCGACAGTATTCATGTTTCCTAACTCATTCACATTTATTAGTTTTTAATGTATTAATATCATTTTAATATCTAAAATGTTATGATATATAAAAAATAATACAAATGTCAATATAGTGTACATATTATTTTCTATTTTATTTTTATTTTTAACTTTATTTTACCAAAGTTTCACTTGATAACATAGTTAAAATGGACACGTCAAAATCTTCCCAAAATAACAACACAGGTGAACGAGTCAAAGAAATTGATCCAGATGTTTCCGAAGAAAGTGGAATATGGTACTATAAGCTATATAAATAAAACGGACAGGAAAAAATGTTTCCACAATAACCACAAGTGAACGAGTCACTTAAATTGATTAATTGGAAGTGGAATATGGTCCTACTTTTAGCTATATAAATGTATTAGTTCAAGAAGGTAGCTGCATCAGCATGCATTGGCTGCAAAGGAATAAGTAAAGTTTTATTCCACAGCCTAACTCCTCAGCCACAGAGTTTTTCTCTCTCTTCAGCATGGAATAAACCTTTACATGTTCCTTTGCATATAAATATAATATATTTAAATCCATAAATTAATATTGGTAATGACATTCAGAAACACGCCACAACTGAAATTTTGTTCTTGTTTATTTCTAATATACATAAATAATTTTGGGGCAGTGCGGTGGCTCTATGGCTAAAGATCTGCGCGTGTGGCTGGAAGGTTGCTGGTTCGTATCTCTCGGCCAGCAGAGGAATCCTACTCCGTTGGGCCCCTGAGCAAGGCCCTTAACCCCAACTGCTCCAGGGGTGCCGTATAAATGGGTGACACTGCGTTCTGACCCCAAGCTTTTCTCCCTTTCTGTGTGTCTCATGGAGAGCAAATTGGGGTATGCGAAAAGACAAATTCCTAATACAAGAAATTGTATATGGCCAAATTAAGGCCATATAAATAAACTGTTTCTAACAACTTCAACTTTGATTATTGAAACTACTAATGTAATAAAACAATATAGAACTGATAAAATTATATCAACTACTAGGAATAAATGATTTTAAATTTTATAATTTAAAAATGGATATAGTGCCATTAATATTTTTTTAAGACTGAATGCTGTATACGCATAAAAAACATGCATGTTTTTTTTGCGTGAAACTGAAAATTGTATTATACTTACATAATGTGATGAATACTGAACATGTGTTGTTTTATCTTAAAGTAGTGTTAAAGTGTCAGCGTTTCCACCAAATAGAGCTAATATTTATGTGAAATGGAAGGGAAAAATCTAAGTACTGTACGCAGTATGATACAGTTGTGGAGCAAACACTTCTTTACACCAGTTTATTCTTTACTCTTCTTTCTAATTTTTGTTTTTTTTCTCTCTATTTGTTTTGCCAGGATAGTGAAAAAAGCAGCCAGAGTTTAGGGGATATGATCTATGAGGTGTTGAGCCTGAAGAGACAAACACATAGAAACCAGACTCCACAGAGCCCCACTGGGGGACAGGGAACTCCGATTTCCCCAACTGAAGAGGAGGAGACTGAGGAAGGTAGGTTTATACACATAGCTATTCCAATAACGTACTTCAGAAGTTAGTAGTCTTATCTGTAGGAGTTATGTGAATAGACTGGGACAACATTAAATTACGAGGTTTTTTTATGGCTATCAGTCATCAGAACAATCAGCAATACACACACACGGGTTCAAATACACTAAATACATTTATTAATACATAAAATTGTGCATATAAAAACATAACAGTCTACCTGGATACAGATGGCAGATATAGAGTGTTACCAAGTTATATATAGAATATATAACGAGATACAAAACAAGGAATATCCATTTAGTATACCAATTCACTATGCGATCTTGTTAATCAGTCTCAATAATACAGATTCTACATTAGATACTCATAAGTAAATGTACTCTGTTGATCCAATCGGTGTTCTGCTGGCTCGGGGCCAATTAGTCCTGGTGAAACTCGTTGTGGGGAGAAGGAAGGAGAACTTTCTGCTGTTTCCTGCTGGCAGTGGTTGCTCTCCAGGGACCAGCTACTTAGCCTTGAGCTGAACTAGGAAACACTGTGCACAGGGAGTGACTGCATTGGTAAAAGCAAGTCACTCTTTAGGGGGAAAAACTTGGTTTGCTTCCGGCATAGCAACAACTTTTGGATAAAAGTATCCAGTTGTCAACAAAATCCCAACCGTATGCTCCGTTGATCAGGGGGGCATCCACGGTGGTTTGCTAGCAGTTCACAAGGTCCTTGCTGCAGGCTTGACCTCAGGCAGAGTTGTTTCCTATTGTCTATCCTAAATTAATTCTTTTAAGTTTTTAATTATGACCTTGTATCCTTGTTACACCACTGAGTGTGGCACAGTCTCTTAGGTTGAACTCGTCTATACTCCTTAGGTTTTCGTAAACGTGGATCAAATCTATCCTTAATATCCTCTGTTCTAGTATTACCTTCAATGCTCTTTTTTGGTCACCATACCAAAGAAAAGATATTTGCAGGGGACATATACAGTATGGAGAGGTTGAATGAGCTGAATCTCTTCAGTCTAGAACAGTGTGTAAGGAAACCTAAGGTTATATAAAAGACTATGCATGAGGAGTGAGTGTATTTAGTTAATGGTTGACAAATTTATATTTTCCCACTATTTTATATGCAAAGATCATGGAAAACATGACAGAAGAATTCATTTTTTTAATTTATAATTTTATGTTAATTTGCTAGCCTAATCATATGATGTGCTTCCTTATTATATATGCCAGATGGGAGTGAAAAATGATAGCAACAGAACAGTGTGTATTATACAAACTATGTTTAAGATACAGATGCAGGCATTTTGTGCAAAATTACCCACAGTTCTCCACAATACAAGATTGGCTAGCCAAAATGACTGACTCTCACCACTTGTGGTGCATTGGTTGTAAGTGAAACGATTTAATCATTTAATCTCTTTACTGTGCATGTTTAAATATGCTTAATATTGAATATTTATATGAAATTTTACAACTAAAGGGAAATTTTAGTACCTGAGCATAAAAAGAAAAGGAGCATAACACGTCTGAAGGTCATAAACAATATTAATTTAGGAACATAAACATATTATGTAAACTGTATATGGCTGGTATTGGTAGTTTAAATAAAAAATACACACCTGTATTCCACTTTCTTCCTAATTATTTTAAGCATCAAAGTCTTTCATTCAGTTACATACTGTCGTTATTTTGGGAAAGTTTACGTGCTCCTCCTGACTATATTAAGTTTATATACTTTTATACTTAAACACCTGATCATCTACTTTAAATCTTTCAGTGCTTTGTGTATATACCAATCACAGTGGTGGCATGGTGTGTGGGGAAAAAAAGGTTTAGGCTGCAATTGAAATGGGGCTCTGTATTCTTCACACCTGAAACATTGTTTTCTCTAAAAGAGTTTTCTTCCCTCTTTAGCTGATCTTTTGCTGCCTACGCATTCTGACACAGCTCCCTACGTGAATTCTTGTACTTGACTTAGAAAGCTTTAGAGAACTTTACATTTTTATTTTCAACAAATTGTAAATATGATGTTTACATTGGCATTTTTATTTTTATTAATTTTTCACTTAAGCATATGGAGGAGTGTCAGCTGTCAAGGAGAGCACCACCCCCTCCCTTTCCCCCATTTCCCCTTTCCCCCCTTCCCTCCACGGACAGACTGACAAAGCAGTTGGGAAGTGTTAACTATCCAGCCATTGCAAGCCACTGCAGCAGAACAAATAAATAAAAAATGTTTTTTTCTCTTGATGCTAACTGGATCAAATTGTCAAGTTTCGCATCCTTGCGAAACAATCATGACGTTCTCATCCAATCAAAGGTTTGATGTTTTTTATTTTGAAACCATGATCTTGAAATGCAGGTGTGAAGTAGAATTGACAGCTTCAGGTTTAAAAGGTTATTTATAATATCTTCAGTGTTGCATTAACATTGGAATGTTGTACAAGTGTAAAAAGAGGCGATACATAACATGTCTCCTCAATAACTCTTCAGTTTATAGAATAATTCTGCCAGAGCCACACAACATTGTCCAATAATAGTCTTCTTGTCTCTAATTTCTAATTTAGCAGGATTTGCATGATAAGCACATTGTTTAATAGGGATGACTTTACCCACGTCTATATCAGTGTACAGCACAGATTTGAGACCACGGTAAAGTTAGCTTCGAAAACGATTTTGGCACGCCAGTAGCATTTTCGCTCCCAGAGTGATGAAAACACTTGCTTTGTGTGTAAAGTACATTGTGATTTTTTTCACAGCCTTCACTTTGTCATTTTAACGCCATTTTTTGATCATGCACAAATTTTCTTATGTCCATATCTTCACAAAGGAAACACATAAAGCCTTCAAACCAAATGCATTTTAAAGACCACGACTTGTGGGACTGCTGTGTACATAGGTTCACAATACAAGAAATACTGCTCAATATGGGTTCGTGCAAACAACCCGTATATGACCGTAGAAACGCAGAACAGCACCGAAACAAACTCAAGGTAGTCTCCATTTATCCAGCCTGTAAGCAGGGAATAAAGCTTTTTTTGATTTCTGAAACCCTTTCTTTATGTCCTGTTTTCATTCAGGTAAGAGTCAACGATATACACAATACTGCCGACAGCAGGAAAATTCCTATTCTTTACTCAACAGCTTTTAAAAAACAGCATCCATGATGGTCACACCGATTTCTTTACACAGAAGACTGACACAGCTTTGTGTTGTGAATCTTTTTCTCATGGGTTTTATTTAATGTGGCACTACAGTATGCACTGGGATAGGGGGATGCTGTTCATGAGCCAATAGCATTTAAACCACGATACCCACAATGCTGGCCTGGTGTGTGTATGCATGTCTCTGTGTGGCTTGAGATTGACAGGCATCCCATCCAGGCTATCCACTGATTTGCGTCCTTGCTTGCCAGGATAGGCTCTGGCTCCCCCCATGACCCTAAACTAGGTGAAGCAGTTAGAAAATGGATGGATAGAATATTATCTCTAAACTGCTTAAACAAAATGTGCAGAATGTAAAAACACAACTCTGAATTCTGAAGCAAAATGTTTTAGGTTATATGTAGTATAGATTAAAAATGTTATGTGTTGTACAATACATACAGAACATAATTTTATGTTAAGAGTGAACATAACCTTGAATAATCTTGCTCAATGAAATTGCACTGTAGTTGGTAATATGTTATGTGTATTGCAACTAAGATTCGATTTCCAGTCCTTTTTTAGAATTGCTGCCAGAATTTTGGATAAGTTTTGATGTGTGTACTAATTTTGCTGGATCCTGGATCCTGCTATTACACCTCAGCTGAAATCCAAGCTTTGGGCTTCTCCATGCAATTCCTAGGAGAGCTGATGAAGATGGTAAGCAGGTGGACAGGCTAGTTGTGAAGGACTGCCCAGAACAGGGCTTCCTAGGGAAACAGACAGACAGTTTTTGAGGTGGTTTTCGGTAGCTGTGTGAGAGAATCTCAAGCACAGAGCTTATCACCAGATAGAACACAGTTGCTCAGTGTGAGAAGACTAGTCTAGCGGTGAAACAAGCCTTAAATGTGATGGTTAATTGCCAGCTTGATTAGAAGATTGGCTGGTTGGACAGACATACGGTCCAATCTTATGACGAGCACTCATAGAAATGTCATTGGTAATTGCAGGTAGCCAGCTGCTTGCAGTCCTGGCAAGACTGCTTTATGGTTTCTGAGACTTAGTCTTCTGAAATATAAAAAATATGCTACAGAAAATTAATTTTCAGACTGAATCTACAAGTTTTGTTACATAATCAAATAATATTTATTCAGAGAGCTATGAGGAAGTGTACTGCAGGCATGGGATATTACAATACATTTATTGTATAAATGTACTAAATGCCAATTATGAAAAGTGGTATATACATTCAATTATTCTTTATTTTTAATGTATAAAGCTGAGAGAATGTTGGATTCTTACTGTTAACTTCTAGGGTCTTTTGAGGTTTTTCATAATATAATTATGCACTGGAGATATTTTGCAGGGGTAATCCTCTGCAAAGTTGAGTACTGTCAGTTTTTGGTAATAGCCTGTGGCATTTTACTATTCTTATAAGGATTTATTGTAGATAGAATACAAAGATTTATCTATTAGGATGACCAATATTGTCCAATAATTGTTTCTAAAAAAGCAATCTGTAGAAATCTGTCAAAAAAAGAATGCAGACTCAAAAAAGCAAATACAATATCTGAATAGTATTGACTGGAAGTGTTTACCCTTTTGCAATATGAAAGTGTATGTTTAAAGGGATTCATGAAATGGTGTTTTACTGTTTTGATCTTCCCTGAATTTGTGACTGGGGAGAACATATTGATCAAAATCTTGGTATAAGAGGCAGATATTTTTCATTTTTTTTAAATTAGAAAATATTTAAACTTTTAATGAACTTAATTTAAATATGGGAGTAAGAATAAGAATTAACCTTACTCATTAATCAATTGGGTGTGCGGGGAGGACTGTGTTCTCACCAGTGAATAAAAGCTTTGCATTCTTGAAACCACAATGGGCATTCTAATTATGTGTTCTTCACTTAGAAGTCACTAACGCAGTGTCAGTTTCATATTTCTATTTTTTCTATTTCCTTTTGTTTAATATCAGTTTTATAATTGGTTTCAGATTAAGCATTTTGTATTTGAATTTTCATTTTAAACAGCACCTAAAGGCAAGTTCAACTGTTTCAGCAAAAGAAGAAAGGAAAAAGGTGTTAACTAATCCAAGGAATGTTGATTAGTTTTATTTTGCCCTGAATAGTCTGTAATGCCATCATTGAGCTGTTCTGGTTCTCATAGGAATAATAGTTGCAGTTGTTGTTTCTTTTTTCCACACTGGTTATTGTGTCTGATTCATGGTTTGGCTGACTTGCCCCCATTCCCCTTCTTCCTCAGACAGTGACAGTGAGATCTCGAGTGGCACTGGGGATGTCTCCAAAGATTGCCCTGAGAAGATTCTGGAGTCATGGGGAGCAATACTCAGCAGATGGTAGGTCTGTTTCTGAATTGAAGATAATAAAAAATAGGGCAAACTGAGTGGTGTTGTCATGGGGTAAAATGGGGTATATCTTGTTCATTATCAAAGTATGCTGTTTTAAGTATGCCAAGAAGCTCAGCAGACTCTCTGAATGAGTTCACCTTTGATGCATGACAAGTATATTTACCACAAACTATACTGTAGTGCCAGTACAGTAGCAGTGTGAAATTATTCGTTGTTATCAATAAATCACTTAGCTTCGAACATGTTGTGATATTTAGAAATATCAAAAATGTCAATATAATGTCCATAACATGTGCTATTTTAGTTTTTCAAATAAATTTTGATTTGTTAAAAGATATCTCATAGTGACAAGCTGGGTTCAAACCCTCAACCTCAGGCATGCAAGGCACACGCTTAAGCCATTACGCCACACACATAATCACATGGGAATGAGTTAAACTGATGCAGACATTTCCAAAGAAAGTGTACTACTGTGCTAATTTGAGCTACAGTATCTGAATATAATATCATTATTGATTTCTTTAGATATGCGATTCCATATTATATTCCGTATTAATCAAATTCTAAAAAGTATGCATTTTTTACTGCGATAACGAGCATAAGTATTCACAGAACTGGTTAAAACATTATAACTTTTTACAAGGTATCTAAACATAATATAATTAGAAAGAGCACGTACAAACTTTTCCAAAATAACCACAGTATGTAACCGAATTAAATACTTTAATGCTTAAAATGTTTAGGAACTACCAATACCGGCCATATACAGTTTACATAATATGTTTAAGTTCCTAAATTAATATAATTTATGAGCAAACTATGGGAAACCATTATAGGCATGGTGAATCGGAGATTCTCAAAACTTATTTTGTATGATCGAATCAACGAAATGCTTCGAAGAAAGAGGCGCTCTTTTCCTTGGGTTTAACAGTCTGTGCAGCAACAAAACAATCTGTTTAAACGAATGTGGTGTTACTTTTTGTCAATGAAAAAATAAAGTATTTTCGTGTCGCAACAGTTAAACTGATGCAGACGGTTAACAAAGAAAGTGGACCACAGTTACACTTTCTTACAGCCTGTCCAAGGTAATTCATTATTAATACTATTAGTAATATCTTCCTTAAAGACTTTGATGAATAAAATATTTATGCCTAATTAAGATATTTATGATGAAGGTGGAAGGTTGTATACTTTTGTTAAACTGAGCAATCTTGCTTTTATAAAATATACCGACTTTTAAATGTTTAATGATTAACATGCCGTAATACACCGTTTAAAATTATTAAAAGTCTAAAGAGTATACAACTTAAATTCTTAATTGGAAAAAGATTGTCCCTCAGCAGTGTCTGAGATTCGAAACTGGGTGTTTTCTGGTGACAGCTCAAATGCTGTACATGAGAGGTTAAGCTTTATTAGCTCCACCTGGTGATTTTGCAAGGTGATTCCTGATACTATTATCATATTATCAGACCTTGAGTTCTGATTGCAGTAGATGTCGGAACAGTTTTTATCATTTCCCTGAGAGGAAGGTCAAACAGAAGTAGTAAACAATTCTTATAATGTACGTGAACACACACTAATCTGCTAACAGCCTCTTGTGAGAGCAAGGTAACTTTCTGTTCATCACAATATAGTCAGACAGAGTTTTTGAATTCTTCAAGCAACATCTTTAAATTTGTCACGTGACTTCTCTTGTGCAAACTCAAGAAAGGTTTGATTTACAGATTTTTTTATGATTTTAAAACCTTTGACAGTATGCCTCAGGGTCTAATTCATAGGCATGCAATACTGTCTTCAGCCCTTCCTGTAAAGTCAACACAGAACAGACACCCTGATCCTTGCCAGTAAATCAACACTGCAACAACAGAGGCCAAACATCCTTTGTCCAGAAGAAAGCTGCAATAATACACTCAAAGGGGCTAAAACACAAATCTACCTTGGATTCCCTAAATGGAGGTACTAAGTGAATATGTCTACTTATATTGATAGTGGTTGAACCCACTGAATAGTTAGGCAGTGGAGCAACAGAACTAGGGTGTGCAGCAGAAACTTCACCAGCTCTCAGGGCCTCAATGCCAAGCTGATGCAAATACACCTCCCTATTTGCCTCAACCACCAATTTACCAAGCTTTGTCTCTGACAAAGTCAGTTCCAGCTCTTTAAGGTGAACCGCTATAATGGCATCCTCAGGCACAAGGGTGCAACAGATAAGCTGGATGTAATGAACACACAGACGCAAGCTGGATATCAATACAAAGTCTATTTACAAGAATAGTACTTATAATAGTTTTATAAAACATACTTGAAAGATAAAGATCACAGAAAGACACTGTTATCTTAAACTAACAATCTATGGCCACTACATAGTGCAGGGACAGGGGTGGGGGGGGGGGGCAGTGCTGGAAAGCCCATAAAAACAATCTACTATCCTATTCTAGGTTACACATTTTCACCCAGTGGCGATGCCAGAAAAACATCTTACACACAACTAACTGGCTACACAGAAATAAACTAACCTAGAAGAAATAAATACAATTAAAATATTTGTCCAGCTGTCCAGCATTACCACTCCATAACATTCCTAACTACATACATCAGTGCCCGACAATCAATAAGGACCAGTAAGATCCTAAAATGTTCAGCAGACACGACCCAACAGCTGACTATAATTCTTCTTCTTCTTTGCATTTTCCCACTTATGTGGGGTCTGCTTGTTTACACCGATTTTTCCACTTCATACAGTCTGCGGCATCTCAGCAGATGACTTTTGAGCGGCGCATGTCATCTTTCAGCTGATCCAGCCAGCGCGTAAATGGTCGTCCACGGGGCCGGTGGCCTTCCCCATTCAATTTGACGGCAGCCTTTGCCATTGATGTGTCTTTGCTGTGGAGCACGTGTCCATGCCATCGCAGGCGCGATTCCCTGATTGGGGCAACTTTGAATGTTTTTGGCACCTCTTCATTCATGACATGGTCTAGTCTTGTCAAGCCGAGGGTCCATTGCAGCATCTTCATTTCCATCGTATGGAGTGCCTGTTCATGTTTCTTTGTCGTTGGCCAGCATTCTGACTATAACTATAGCCTTATTATTATATTACTTAATTATTATACCTTTTTGTTGTTTTAAAATGTCAGCCATGTTAATCAAATAAGTGAACAAAGAATAAATTCTGGATGTTCCAAACATGCAAATCACATTAAGTCATATCCACAGATATTCTGAAACAATATAAGTCAAATATACAAGTCAATAAGTGCAGTTTGATCGATTTACTATATAAATATACACTATATATATACTATATATACATTCTGAATGTCTGGATCTGTAGCTAATCAGAGTACTGATCCAACTGTGTTTTGGAACTTTAAGGCAGTACTTAATTAGAGGCTTGATTGGAGGATTGGCTCCCTGATTGAAAGGGAGCCAGATGAATAGACAGGCAGCCCCACCTAGTCCTCAGGGGAATGCACATGGCAACCACAGGCCATCCAGCCAAGGTGTCACAGTATTCTTAATGATTTATCAAGTTAATTTACTCCACTGTAAATCATTATATCCACCATTGTAAAGAATAAACATTCAAGAGTGGCTGGGTCATTCTTATCAGAGGTCATTAAGACTGCCTGCATAGTAAGGTACAATGGCATGAAAACAGAATTAAATGTATTGACTCCACTCTACCTGAATGAACAGGGAAGTGTTAGGCAGCAGGCAGCTGTAGTGAACATTCAAAAAATATAGTCCATAGTTATAGTCAGAAATGTAGTAATATTCTTGAATATCAAGGGTAGTGTTACAAATAGCATGCAAGCATACAGGCATCACCACATACCCACGCACACTCCGCACCACACATACTCAAGCACTAATTGATTGCTACTTTCTATTTAAACCCTATCCCCTAAATCCGTCTTCGCTCATCATTGAGGCTTTTTCTCAGCTAGAGCTACTCAACCTTCAATCCTGAATTCTAGCTCCCTCTCGACCTTTTTGATAACGACCTTCTCTTTACGTCCAAGACTCCTCTCTTGTTAAACGATTTGGATATCTTTGCTTTGTTTCAGATTTTTGTTCAACCACCTCTCCGGCCATGCACAAGGTCCAGCTAATTAACCTATGTTTGGGCATTACTGACAAGTAGTAAGTTAGTTGCACGCAGGTGAAACTGATTGGAATTAGTGGAACTGAGTCCATAGTCACAACAACTGATTGACAAGTGTAGCTGAGGTAATGCCTGTTGCTGTTGTAACTTGAGTGCATCTTCCAGTGCTTGGTAGTGAGTGGGTGTGACACTGAAAGAGTCCAAAAAGGAAGGAAAATAGTGGAAGGAACAATAAACTCCTTTTGTCTTCCCCCTCATCATTTACAATCTCCACAGCTGTGACTTTTCTTACCAGACTGTGTACCAGAGTCGGTCTAGGTAACCTGAGCATTATTTCAAGAGAAATAATGCTCAAGAGAGCTTGATGTGTTATTTATTTTCAAACATTTTGAAGTACATTTCCTGTACTGTGGAAACCTCTTAAAGTGATAGTGATACATTGTTATAATAAGAAAATTGGTTTATCAGGACACAGGCTCTCAAACTATTAAAAGTGTCACTGTAATCTAGAGTAAGCAGGGCTTTAGGACCCCATAGTGATATAATAATAATAATAATTGTTTACACTTATATAGCGCTTTTCTGGACACTCCACTCAAAGCGCTTTACAGGTAGTGGGGACTCCCCTCCACCACCAATGTGCAGCATCCACCTGGATGATGCGACGGCAGCCATAGTGCGCCAGAACGCTCACCACACATCAGCTATCAGTGGGGAGGAGAGCAGAGTAATGTAGCCAATTCATAGATGGGGATTACTAGGAGGCCAATGGGAAATTTGGCCAGGATGCCGGGGTTAAACCCCTACTCTTTTCGAGAAACGGCCTGGTATTTTTAATGACCACAGAGAGTCATGACCTCGAGTTTACCTCTCATCCAAAGGACGGCACCTGCTTACACTATAGTGTCCCCGTCACTATACTGGGGCATTAGGACCCACATGGACCGCAGGGTGAACGCCCCCTGCTGGCCTCACTAACACCTCTTCCAGCAGCAACCTTAGTTTTTTCCAGGAGGTCTCCCATCCAGGTACTGACCAGGCTCACACCTGCTTAGCTTCAGTGGGTTGCCAGTTGTGAGTTGGGCTGCTGGCCATAATCTGTTGTATCTCGATGTGTTATATAGTTTTGTGTAATGTAATATGTTATATAGTTTTGTAAGTTGTTGCATCCATGTCTCTTGTGCAAGTCAGTAAGTCAATAATCCAAATGGCACACATTAAAAAAGGAATAAAAAATGCGACTTTGATGTTTTTCCCCTTGTGAAATGGGTTGGCAGACTCACCAGTTGAGCTTTTACTGGTAGGCATGGGAACCTGGGAGTTCGACCAAAGGGATTGTCAACACTGGTGAAGCCTGGAATCCCGGAAGCACTCAGGGCTGAAGTGTGGCAGTTGTTGGCTGGGTGCCACAATAACCAAGGCCTGCTGGAGACATATCGCATCCTTATTACCAAGGTAGGACCCTGTTGAACTTCACATCCTTCTTTCGTGTGTTTACACAGAAAGAAATTCATTGTCATTGTGAGTGGCCTTCTTTCCAAGATTAAGATTTGGATTCTTTGAAACCTGAGAGTCTAGTAGTTTGTGATCTGTCTCTGTTACTGGCTCAATGAACAAGGTACTAAATCTGTTTGTGCCCTGTGCTTCTTACAAGACGTAATCCAGATCCGTTTGTTGGAAACATAAGTTTTTCAGTTCATCGCCTTTCTGTTTTGTATGGTCTCTCTTTGGATAAATGCATAGGCAAAAAGACTCATTACTAAAGCAGCTATCCTCTCCTTTTTGGCTACGTGCCTAATGGCATGTTAGATTCAAACCCTTCTCTAAATGATGCTCTACAGACATTTCTATTGTGTAGCTGATTGCATGATTATAACTTTGTTACCTGTGGATGTTAAGGAATCAAAATGGCAGTTGCATAATTCCTGAAAGTAGCTGTGCATGCTAGTATGTAAATACAGCGCTGTTTTGGTTGTGCATTATGATCCTCAATATGATATCATAATGTTAGAAATAAGTAGCTTATAGGAAATAGTGAGGCCCAGTTTTCAATTTTAATATAAAGTGTAAATCATGCTAAATTATAATTTATTTTAATAAATGAAATTGAAATTAAAGAAAGCTTTAGGTCTTGAAATGGGTAGGCAGCCTAAGGCAGGTGTGCCATTATTTGGATTTTTAGTGCAACGAAAGAGGCAACAGTGTAATAAGGCATGAAGAAATTGTTAAAAAATGAAAAAACAATGCTTGACTGTTCTGTGATTTTTTACAACATTCTACCAAATTAAAGCTCTTTGATGTTGGAAAAACTATTCATTTGGTTTATATACTGCATTTTTAATGATAGAGCAACATCAGTAGTTTCCAGTGTCAGCTTTTTAGTGTAATCATGTGTTTAGCAAGAGATGTGTCTGACAGTTTATTTACTTATTTGTTAGAATATATTGTGCTATTTTATTTTTAGGCCTTCTTTTATAATTAGAAATACTAAAAGACCTGTTTATATATGCCTTTGTGTCTGGCCTGTTATAAGATTTGTTTTAAAAGGTCAGTCAGTGGTCTCTTTAAATGTGTTTTTTTGCGAATACAGTTTGTGCCTTCAGCTGGGGAGTCACTCACACAGTAAATTGCATTCCCCTTCCTGAAATACATGAATTGGTTATAAATACTCTCCATACCTGCTCTTGTATTTCTTTTCATTTGCAAGATAAACTGCAAAAAAAAGATGAAAATGAATACCAGTGATGGATTATTAAAGCTTATGTGAAAGTGTTATCTTTATTTTTGGTATAAATAAAGTCATGGAGATACAGAGAGGTCTTAAGAGACTCAATTCAAGTCACTGTCCAGGCTCAGCTCATTTGTTTACTTTGATTTATTTTATTTTATTTAGAACCACAATTTATTCTTCTGTCATCCCAATTTGAAAGGATCTTTTGTTAGTCAGATTTATTGCTGTGACTGTAGAGGCAAATGATGGATGAGGAGTGCAATCTCGCATTCACCTGTGTCTCATGTACCCTGATGTTTCTACAGTGTCCACAGCAAAGTTGGCAGTTGATTGAATGATGCAGCCCTCACTGAAAATCAAAGCTTACAGGTGCCTGGCAAAGCAAGGATGTATGGGATACCAGGATGTGACGTGTGACAGGCCCCAACCAAAATTAGGTGCCTACAGGGATCTGAACACATAAAAAACTCTCAGTGCTTGAAGTAAAGGATTTTCACAGAATAACAGTGAAAAATATAATAGTTTTCTATTTCAAGTCCATCCGCCACCTAACACCTTGTGGCTTTTATGTACCAAACATTTCTAATGAAACCCATGTCTTCATCTTCATCTGTTATTCAGATAACTACTGTAATATTCACCCAACGTGTTCATGTATTCAAGTGATTTTAGTTTGTAAAAGACAGATCAGCTGTAATATCAGTGTCTCCTGACCTGGTCTGCCACAGTAGTGGGTTGTGCTTGCTGTCTTCCAGAAATATACAGCAAGTGATCTACTATTCCAGTGCTAGGCTGTTAAGGGGTAATTCAATAAATTAAGTTATTTGGTATAGTCAAATTTTGTGTTTTAAAATAGCAATCCCCACTCCTTTTTACCTTTATTACCCTTCGCAGTATGTATCCATCATGCAGATGGGGCATAGACTTAAGTACTGTAACCAGACATTCTGAATTTTATTGGTAAAGTTGCACACCTGGGGAATGTACAGTATGTGTGCATTGCCTGATAAATATTAAGTATTTGAATATTTTGAAAGATTTATAAGTACCAATCTTTTCCAAAATTGAAGCCGTACAGAAGCTACATATATGTAACCTAACATAAGAAAGGTTCAAAATGAGAGGAGGCCATTTGGCCCAACTAGCCCCTTGGATGCTTATTCATCCAAGGATGTTATCCCACTGTTTCCAATTTGTTCCAATAATTTGCAGAAAGTAACTGATCAGAGAAACCAATATATTTACTATGCAATTATTTTTGTTAAATTCATTCAGTCAACAAACCCTGTGCTGGTGTTTCAAAATGTTTTACCCATACTTTATAAGTGGTTATGTGAGCTAGTAGTCATTCATGTGAGTTTCTCACATACTCTTAACAGTATGTTGCCTACAGTATATTGAAATCACAGTAATGTAACTCAAACCTCTATTACCAACTCTAAAAACAAAAAAAAAATGATTAGATTTAAGAAAATAGTTTTTATTCCTACAGTCATGTTACCTAAATGATGAAAATCTGTTTTTCTGTAGTAAACATTTGTGACATTTTAATTTATGTCGATCAAAAAACTGAACAGTAGCTAATTTCAAGGTTTTAAATACTTTTCTGGTTAGAAAGGTAGTCTTTCAATAGCACATTTATGAAAACATTATTCTTAATTTCCTGTTAGGGTGTGTGTAGTTAAAGTGGTCTGCAAATAAAACAGAAAACACAGAGTACATATGATAGCTGTAGAGGTTATCTTACTGTTTTTCTAGCACAGTAATTCACTTACCTCCCACATTGAAAGAAATACATGGATCTTGCTTATGTTATCTGTTATATTTACTGCATGTTTTAATTGCCTTTCATCCATCCATCCATTTTTAACCTCTTCTTTCAACTCACCGTCACAAGGGAGCTGGAGCCTATCTCAGCCAGTATCAGGCACAAGGCAGGGTGCAGCCTGGACAAGACACCAGTAGACATACAAAATCACACACACAATCACACCAAGGGCAAAGTTTCGGAGGATCCACTTAACCTACCAGTATGTTTTTGGCCAGCTTATATTTGGTCATTTTTACACAAAGGAAATCAATTTATTAGAAAGTGCATGTACAGTAGCTGAGTGAATGGGTAGCAGAGGGTGGCTTGCAACAGTCCCAGAGATACATTCCCTGCATTCTCATGGGGAAATTAGGGAACTGGCTGCACCTCGGGACACCAGCTCCCTATAAAACCATTCTCTGAGGAGTCGGTTTGTCTAACAAGACCCTCACAGTCACTTGGGACAGTTAGTTTGTACAGTAAGATCTCCAGTTGAGATCCTTTGGGGCCAATTACATAAAAGATTATGAAATACTCCAGTGGAGTGAACCTAAAGTTAAGACTCTTCTTATTTAGTAGCAGCCTCGGTTATTTCTGTTTCGGGTCGCTGGTAAGAAGGAAGATGGGTTAGGAGCAAGTCTGGCCAAATAGAATGAACTGGGTGAGGAACTTCCACTGCTACAAGATTCTGATGTGGAGTTAAATGTGCAAATAGAAGGGCAACTGCAGAGTAGGAAAGGGAGTGTAACATTGGGTGTTTCTCTGGGCTGTTTAATCTACCCTATTCAGGTTGTGTTTTATGTGCATATCCCCATGCTATACTACTCTCATTGGAGATCTGCTACATCTGGTGGCAGTGGTGGAAGGCTGCTCATTTTTGGTTGTTAGTTGTGTTTTCTGTGTGGTTAGAATTATGGAGGCAGCAATAGCACACTAATTTATACTGCCATAAGAAAGGAGACAGATAGAATCCATCATAGACTAATAATGATCAACATGATGTAGTCCAGAAAGAAGCTTCCAGGGCACTCCAACAGAGATTAGAGCACCTGTGGGCAAACTACGGCCCGCAGGCCACATCCGGACTGCCAACCAGTTTTAACCAGTCCTTGAGGTCAGAAATAAATGAGTCAATATTCGCCATATTCCACTTTGTTTGGTGTGTTTTTTTCTTACATTTCATTATTCATGCTGTTAGATGGTGCACGGACGCTTTACCACAGTGATTCCAAACTGTGCATCGCACCGCCTTGGGGAGGTGCCATTGTCGGTCAGGGGCATCTCAGGTATCGCCAGTGACACAGAATATATGAGTTGCATGCTACCTAGCGGATTTGAAGGGACTAGATTATGTCACATGACACTGGCCATGAGAGTCGGCAGTCTGTAAGCAGTTTACCAGCTGACCATGGCTTCAGTGTTTCATGTTTCTATGAGAGGTCATTTTGAGAGTTTTTTGTTACACGATCGCAATTCAGAGGTTTTTAAATATGATTCAAAAACATGAAGGACATGGAGCCTAGGTCTAAAGAGAAACAGAAACGCAAATACAGAAAGTATGACGACAGTTTCTTGAATTTCGGTTTCATGTGCACAATTGTGGACACTGAAGAATGTCCTCAGTGTGTTGTCTGCCTTAAACTGTTGGCTGCTGAGAGCACGCTCCGCAGTTAATTGAAACGTCATTTGGAAACTGTTCATAGTAGTTTGATAAGTAAGCCTCGTGAGCTGCTTTTTCTAGCCAAACTACTGTCCCCAGCAAAGTTCTTTTTTCATCATACAAAGTTGCTTACCGAGTAGCACAATGCAAAACACCTCATACTCTTGGAGTACCAGGGAGTAAACAACAGAGCTCTGTGAATTCTGCTTCCCTTTGTAATTTCCTGCCTTTGTGAGGCTGGGTTTTCAGCATTT